TTCCAAGTTAGTTGAGAAGATTCCTGCGGCAGAGGCACGATAAATCAATTTAATTAGACCTTCGCTGTGGACTTGATCTTTTGCACCCGTGCAGCTACAAATCCTTGCAAGTCCGAAAGTAAAAATTTCCTGCCGTCCCTTTTTACCCTCTGATAAGTTAGGACCGATCCTTTCTAAGTTTCTTTCCTTGCCCGTTATTCAGCTCAGGACTCCCAGTTTTTTATCTCAGAGGTCTCCTACCTCTGGGCCGCGCGGCCTACTACCAGGCTGTGCCCTATTTGGACTTGGGCCATATGAGTGCTGGCTGGAGCATGTGCACACAGCTCAACTTGCATGTGCGTACGCGCCGGCCCGCTACTTATGTGAGGCAGGGGTGGGATTCTACCAGTTCGGACCGGTTCAGACGAACCGGTAGCTCCGACAATCAGCTGGGAGTGAACCGGTTTGCTCCGACAATCAGCTGGATCCGCTCACCCCTGCACTTTACTTACCTTTATCTTCGCAGCTGATTAGCACGGCAGAGCGAATTGCCGTGCCTCAGCTGTTTTAATTCCCTAGCCCTAATGCGGAAGGTGAATTTTTTTGTTGAAATGCACACACGTGTGCAAAGCGCACAATCACAGAACCGATTATTAAGGATCCCACCACTGATGTGAGGGCTGCGGGCACACACACGTGCTGGCCCACCATTTGCACAGCCCAGTTCCCCCCTCCCCCCCGTTTCCCTCTTCTCCCACCCCAGCGGTCCCCAACAAAGATTGGGAACAGCTGCTTTAGCGGATTCTATCTTTGGCAGCATCTCTTCCCTCGTTTCTGCGTACCATTACATTTTTGCACCAATTTCCTTATTCTTGGTACAGTTTAAGGTGCTGCTGGTTGTGGCCTTTAAAAACTTAACATGGCTGAAGACCTGGATCTCTTAAAGCTGTTTTACTTCAAATCCTACTCGCTTGTTCAACAAGACCTGATTAAGTGGGCTCTCTCCATATTCCTTCTCTCAGGATCAAGGAAATGGGTCTTCGCAGCTATTGACCGGGGGGCTCTTTGGTGGAACGGCACTCTCCTGGACCCAGAACTAGTTCCTCGCTTATTCGTTTTTAGGAGGGCCATTAAAAATCTGCCAGTGATACAGGGAAGCGGGCATTGTGGGTTGAGACATTTTAAAGCAGCTTCCTTTGGGGTATTTATATCATGTAATGGATATTTCTAGTGTTAATATATGCTAGTAGAGTAGAGTAGAGAATAGAATGTAGAGTAGAGTGGAGTAGAGTAGAGTAGAATACAGTAGAGTAGAGTAGAATACAGAACAGAATGTAGATTACAATAGAGTAGAGTAGAGTAAAATACAGAGTAAAGTAGAGTACAGAATAGAATGTAGAATAGAACACATAGAGTAGAATACAGAATAGAATGCAGAATAGAATAGAATACATAAAGTAGAGTAGAATACAGAATAGAATGTAGAATAGAAAAGAATACATAAAATAGAGTAGAGTAGAGTAGAGTAGAGTAGAATAGAATAGAATAGAATAGAATACAGAATAGAATAGAGTAGAATACAGAATAGAATGTAGAGTACAATAGAATAGAGTAGCGTAGAGTAGAATACAGAGTAGAGTAGAATACAGAATAAAATGTAGAATAGAATAGAATAGAATAGAGTAGAGTAGAATACAGAGTAGAGTACAGTAGAGTAGAATAGAATGTAGAGTAAGTAAAGTAGAGTAGAGTAGAGTAGAGTAGAATACAGTATAGAATGTAGAGTAGAATAGAATAGAGAACAGAACAGAACAGAATAGAATTTTTTATTAGCCAAGTGTGATTGGACACACAAGGAATTTGTCTTCAGTGCATAAGCTCTCAGTGTATATATAAGCAACGAGTGATAAATCATGATCATAGTCATCATAAAAAATACATTCATCAAAAATCAGAAGATACAACACTTAGTGATAGTCAAAGGATACTAAATAAGCAATCGCCGTAAATCATACTAGGATACTAAATAAAACAACCTAGAACTAAGGAGCAATTTCCTATCAGGGAGAACACTTAACCAGTGGAACGACTTGCCTCCAGAAGTTGTGGGTGCTCCATCACTGGAAACCGGAAGCCATTTGTCCAGAATGGTAGAGAGCAGGGGTGTCAAACTCGATTTCATTGAGAGCTGCATCACAGTTGTGTTTGACCTCAAAGGGGGGCGGTGGAGTGGGTGTGGCCAGGGTGGGTGTGGCCAGCTCACTCGTGTCAGGGGTGCCTGTGGTGGCTCGAGCGCTCTGCCAGAGAAAACGCTCCATTTTCAACCGTGACCGCCTCCTGCAATCCTCTGCCAGCGAAGAGGCATTGTGGGCCAGTCCTTCGCTGTTTCTAAGGCAGCCCCGCGAGCCAGATCTAAGCACCTCATGGGCCACATCTGGCCCCCGAGCCTTGAGTTTGATGCCCCCCCTCCAGTATAGGGTCTCCTGCTTAGGTTGGACTAGAAAACCTCTAATATCCCTTCCAATCTCCGATTGTGTAATTTCTGTACGCTCAGTAAATTAATAAATTTTAAACATTTCGTAAGGTCTGCCTGCTCGGCAAACGAATAAATATTTAAATAATTCATACCAAGTGGGAAATAATCATTATTTGGCATGTCATTTCCCCTGCACTCAGCTTCCCTCTCGCAGTCCCAAAAGTGTTTGCATTATTTCTCAGGACCGTAGCGAGGAGCAGATTCGTCTCCTCAAATGATGTCCTGCAAAAATTCATCAACGCATCCGAGAAGCAAACCCCTTCATCCTGACGCTTTCCTCTTCCTTTCATTCCAGATACATTTAAGCATTAACAAAGCTCTTCTTCCAATGAATCCTTTGGGTGATGGAAAGCAAATCCCGGGTCACGCGTGACAGGCAAGAAACGCTAATAATTCCTTGATTGTTTTGAGGGAGCAGGCTAATAGGATAGCCAATTGTTCTAATGATCCGCGATTAATTTTTTTTGGGGGGGGAGGACTTTGCTCATCGGTTGCCCTCAACGGCTAATAGAAAGTGAAAAAAACCTGTGGAACAAGGCCTCACACACACAGAGTACAAGAAAAGGACAGGGTTATTTACACATTCTGCCGTCAAAATGTTGTCTCATTGTCGAGGAGGGATACATTCAGATGCAGTATTCAGCCGGTTCGGATCGGTTCACCCGAACCCGTAATAGAAATCGTGGGTGGGCCTGCCCACCTGCCCCGGTTCTATGCCAATCTCTTTAGGTACGTTTTTGAGACCAGCCGCATGCACGGAAGGCGGGTGCCTGGGGCAAACCAGTAATAACATACTGAGAAACCCACGACTAGATACATTCATATAAAAAAAGATGTTGAAAGTTTAGAAAGTGTGTAGAGAAGAGCAACGAAGATTATTAGGGGACTGAAGGATAAAACCTATAAAGAACATTTGAAGGAATTGGGTTTGACTGGGGTGACATCAGTGGTAGGCTGCCCCCGGTTCGCACCGATTCTATAGAACCGGTAGCAAAACTGGTGGGCGTCTCCGCCTACTGACCCTGACATCATAAAACGAACCGGTAGTAAAGGTAAGTAGAACCCACCCCTGGGTGACATGATAGCAGTCTTTCAACATTTGAGGGGCTGCCCCAAAGAAGAAGGGGGCCGTGTCAACCTATTTTCTAAAGCACCAAAAGGCAGGACAAGAAGCAATGGATGGAAAATAATCAAGGAGAGAAGCAACCTAGAACTAAGGAGAAATTTCCTGACAGTGAGAACAATTAACCAGTGGAACAGCTTGCCACCAGAAGTTGTGAATGCTCCAACACTGGAAGTTCTCAAGAAGAGATTGGACAACCATTTGCCTGAAATGGTGTAGGGCCGTGATGGCAAACCTATGGCACCCGTGCCACCTGTGGCACGCGGAGCCATATCTGTGGGCACGCAAATGTTGGCCTAGCTCAGTTCCAGCATGCATGTGTGCGCTGGCCAGCTGATTTTTGGGCCTTTCAGGCCCACTGAAAGTCAGGAAACGGGTCATTTCTGGCCTCTGGAGGGCCTCCGGGGTGGTGTGGTGTGGGGAAGGCTGTTTTCGCCCTCCCCAGGCTCCTAGAAAACCTCTGGAGCCTGGGGAGGGCAAAAAGCAGGCCTACTGGGCCCACCGTGCCATCACGTGCCAAAAGCGGAGGGAGCACGGGGGTGTGTGTCATGTGTGCATGCGCAGGGGGGCGGGACGCATTGAATTATGGGTGTGGGCACGCACGCACGTAACCCTCCCGTGGTCCCCCCCACTTTTGGCACGTGATGGCAAAAGGGTTAGCCATCACTGGTGTAGGGTTTCTTGCCTAAGCAGGGGGTCCAACTCTGTTATTCTGTTATTCAGGTCATAGAATAAACTAGTTATCTAGAAAAAAAATTAAGGCTGCATTCATAATGGTTTATATACTTCGCGCGATTAAACTCACTATTTAACATCAGAAGAAAAGAAAAATACAAATGAGTCAATCGATTGAAAAAAGGGAATTGTTTGTCACAGGCTCAATTAATAACAGAGGGAAAGCATAACGTTCTGCATTGTCAGATCTAATGTAAGTTTTTTTTTTTTTTAAATTACAGGCCTGATTTAAAATAAAACGGTGCCTTTCATAGACAGTAATTAATCTCACACTTTCCGCTTACTTCTTAAAGCACAGCTCTTAGAGTCGCCTCGTATCTAGATTTGTTTCACGCTCATAAATTATTTGAATCAGCCTTGAATTAGAGAAATTAAGGGAATTAACATCAATCTGTGTTTGATTTGCAATGGATCAAAGCGGGCAATGGCTTAAATTTAAAACGAAGGAGTTTCTTTTTTAACATTTTACATACAGTAGAGTTGAAGCATTCTGCCGTACAATAAAATCCCTTTAAAAAGTAACTTTTCAACCTTTTAAAAGAAAAAAAACTCTGACCTCTTCATTTTAGAGTAATTACACCGGCTCTTTTTATCTGCTTTAGGAAGGAAATAAAAAGGCATTTTTACCTGAGTCTCTATTCCTTGTTCAAGCAACCGTTTCGCCTGGTTTTCGACTTCGAGTCGAGCTCTTGCAATAAAAAGCAATTCATTTTCAATGACTTCAATTCCAGACAGGTCTATTCCTTGAGAAAGGTAATCTATAAAAAGAACAGAATATTGATGATAATGACCCCAATTCCGAAAATAACAGTGAAACAAATTAAATTTTAAAGCTACTCTGTCATGTGACGTTCTCACGTACGCATGAAATGAACGCTCCAACATTGGAAGTTTTAAAGAAGAGATTTGTCTGAAATGGTAAATAGGACTTCCTGCTTGCATAGGGGGTTGGACTAGAAGACCTCTAGAGGTCCCTACCAACTCTGTCGTTCTGTAAATTCTGTGATTGCTTGACGTGTGTCAGCAGCAACTTTGTCCAGTCTTACACAAAATACTTCAGCAGGCATTGAAAAGCTTGGATTTTACAAGTGCTTTATAAGAATAGGTTTTTTTTTTAATAAAAATAGAGAAAATGATGGATGGGATAGTAATAGCAAAAATATATTTCCCATCTAATATCCCTATCACCAGTGGCGGGTTTCACATATTCAGATTCGGGAAGACTTGGCCGCTGACTGGGTTAGTTCAGATGAGATTACTGAGGCAGGCCTTGAGAATGTTATCTGGGAGGAGTTCGATCCTGTGGCTCCCGAGGACGTGGACAGGATCTTGGGACGGCTGAACGCCACCACATGTTTATTGGACCCGTGTCCCTCCTGGTTGGTTTTATTGAAGAGAAACTTTATATAAATTTTTTTCCCACTGTGCTTTATATAGCAGTGGTCAAAATTGTGGAAACCTTGTGAGAAAAGTGTATTTTCTAAAATTAGCGAATAACACCACTTTTTTTTTGGAGCAGTACCATTAAATTATATATCAATGGAAAGATAATTTAATCAAGAATGTAATGCAATAACTTTGATGAAGGACTTGCTATTAGAATGGCAGTTACAGTATAAAGAAGAAAAGTGAAACGCGTAGAAAAAAACGAGCTCTACAAAAATGATCACCATAGAAAAAACGATATATACAAAAATTATCACATCAGTTAATACTATCCAGGAGCCCGGATAGCTCTGCAGACTAAGCACTGTAATTTAACACCAGCTGTCTGCAATTAAAGTAAGTTCAAATCTTGCCAGGCTCAAGGTTGACTCAGCCTTCCATCCTTTCTAATGTAGGTAAATTGAGGACCCAGTTTGTGGGGGCAATAAGCTGACTTTGTATAAAATATACAAAAGTATGACGGCTATTGCTTAACGCACTGTAAGCCGCCCTGAGTCTCCGGAGAAGGGCGGCATATAAATCAAATTTTTTTTAAAAAAAGTTGGGTAACCTTTAGCATGAATTATGGCAGAGTAGAGAATAGAATGAATTTAGCATGAATTATGGCTTTACATGGAGTGAACCAAGTCTTTTAGTTCTGCAGCTGTTCTAATGTGAAACCAAGATTGAATGATGGCTTCTATTAACTGGGTTTTATTGCTGGGTCGCTTCTGACTAACAAGTTTCTTTAGTCGGCTCCATAGATTTTCAATTGGGTGAAGGTCTGGGCTCTTCCCAGGCCATTCCAGCAGTGGAATAGGATTATCTTGAAACTCCCAAAACAAAACAAAAAAAAGTGGTGTTATTAGCCATCAAACCTCAAAAATACACTTTCCCCAAAAGGTTTCCACAATTTTGGCACTGCTGTATAGATAGTTCAACAAATTTCACTGTTTTCTTCCATTAGCTAAACCTGTCTCTAAAAGATACACCCTTGCACTTGCGCCTGCGTTTCTTTATATAAAAGATTCCTGATCCATTCTTTAAATCGTTCAAGATAAACAACAGATAAAGTTGTTTATCATAGCCAGAGGTGAACATCAATCATTGTGACACATGACCCGTGCATCAATTATAAAAGTCATGTCCCAATTCAGTTGCATGCTTCATCTTTGAATCTGCTTTTACGTATATATTTCTGTAGTTCACCCGAAGACGGAGGGTAGGTATATTTTAAGGACTGAGTACGATTTTGGGTCAAGGTGAACTCTAAAAGTCATTCAAGCATGCCTGAGCAACCGCCGTGCCAGATTTGGCCGACATATTTTTGCACGCAACAAGATGTCAGCCTCGAATCCTTCATCCGAGGCACTGAACCACAGATGGATTTAATTTAAAGTAGTTTCAACTTAAGTCCACGTGAATCTTCGCTGTCAGCTCCTGCCTCTTCGTTTGACTTCTGCTTGTAGCTACAATCCATCAAGCGGGAATTTTATTGCCAGACAAGAGTTAGCATTTTAGGGGAATCTATGAATGCTTCTGAAGGATTAAAATTGGGGGGGAGGAGGAAAAAAAGGATGCATAAATAAATAAATAAATAAATAAATAAATAAATAAATAAATAAATAATTTTATTTCTATACCGCCCTTCTCCCGAAGGACTCAGGGTGGTGTACAGCCTATTAAAAGCACAAAGACAGACATCAATTAAAAATAATTAAAATTATTAAATAATTTCGGCTCAGATTTAAAACCCCAGAAATTTAAAATACCCCAATTTAAAATTATTATGTTGATAGCCCGGCCTGGCGGAACAGCAGGGTCTTCAGGGCACAGAGAAATACATAGAGGTCGGAGATCTTACGCATTTCCGGGGGCAGTTCATTCCACAGGGCAGGGGCTCCCGCAGAGAAGGCCCTCCCCCTGGGTGTTGCCAGCCGACATACCTTGGCCGATGGCACCCTGAGGAGACCCTCTCTGTGGGAGCAGACTGGCCGGTGGGAGGCTATTGGTGGCAGAAGTCGGTCTCGAAGGTACCCGGGTCCTATGCCATGGAGCGCTTTAAAGGTGGTGACCAACACCTTGAATCGCACCCGGAAGACCACTGGGAGCCAGTGCAGCTCGCGCAGGAGGGGTGTCACGTGGGCACGACGAGTTGCGCCCATAACCACCCGTGCGGCCGCATTCTTTAAGAATACGGTCATTCCACGCCCCACCTAAAACACCTCTCCGGATAATCTCTACTGCCACCTACCCCTTCTGTGTTCCCACCCCAACCTCTCAAGAGCATCTAAAAAGGACGGTAAACAAAGCACCCGAGCCAAGCTTTTTCTCCCAGACTTCAGGGGACAAAAGGGGAAGATTATTGGGAATTTAAAACAAAGCTCCTTGACGAGCAGAAATGCTGAAGAAGCTTCACTACGGAAGCAATTGTTCTATCTCCATTCACAGAAATGCTGAAGTCGAGACAGGAAATATATCTACAAATATAAAAGGCTGCCGTGTCACCTATCCATAAAACTAGGAGCAGAAAATACAAAACCTACTTGTACTATAGGATAGGACAGGACGGGACAGGACAGAAAAGAATAAATGGGATGGGGTGGGGATGGGGATGGGAATGGGGAATAGAATAGAATAGAATAGAATAGAATAGAATAGAATAGAATAGAATAGAATAGAATAGAATAGAAAGAATAGAATAGAATAGAAAATATGGAATGAAATGGAATAGAATATGGAATAGAATAGAGAATAGAGAATAGAGAGAGAATAGAGAAATAGAATAGAATAGAATAGAATAGAAAAATATGGAATGGAATGGAATAGAATATGGAATAGAATAGAGAATAGAGAATAGAGAATAGAGAAAATAGAATAGAATAGAATAGAATAGAATAGAATAGAATAGAATAGAATAGAATAGAATAGAATAGAAAATATGGAATGGAATGGAATAGAATATGGAATAGAATAGAGAATAGAGAATAGAGAAAATAGAATAGAATAGAATAGAATAGAATAGAATAGAATAGAATAGAATAGAATAGAATAGAATAGAAAATATGGAATGGAATGGAATGGAATGGAATAGAATAGAATAAATAGAATAGAAAATATGGAATGGTAAGGAATAGAATAGAATAGAATAGAAATAGAATAGAATAGAACAGAACAGAACAGAATAGAAAATATGGAATGGAATAGAAAGGAATGAATAGAATAGAATAGAATAGAATAGAATAGAATAGAATAGAATAGAATAGAATAGAAAATATGGAATGAAATGGAATAGAATATGGAATAGAATAGAGAATAGAGAATAGAGAATAGAGAAAATAGAATAGAATAGAATAGAATAGAAAATATGGAATGGAATGGAATAGAATATGGAATAGAATAGAGAATAGAGAATAGAGAAAATAGAATAGAATAGAATAGAATAGAATAGAATAGAATAGAATAGAAAATATGGAATGGAATGGAATGGAATGGAATAGAATAGAATAAATAGAATAGAAAATATGGAATGGTAAGGAATAGAATAGAATAGAATAGAATAGAATAGAATAGAATAGAATAGAATAGAACAGAACAGAATAGAAAATATGGAATGGAATAGAAAGGAATGGAATGGAATATAGAATAGAATAGAATAGAATAGAATAGAATAGAATAGAATAGAATAGAATAGAATAGAATAGAATAGAATGGGAAAGGAATTCTTTATTGGCCAAATGTGATTGGACACACGAGTCTGTCTCTTAACTGTTCTAAGTGGAGGATTTCCTGTTATGGATGAGAAAGTCCATCTTACTTCAATGGGACTCTCAGTCCCATCCATTTGGTCCTGCCGATGGAAATTAATTCAGAGAGCTATTTCTTATTGGTGTTCGGTCAATTCCCAGATTTTAATTTTGCCTCTTCCTCTTCACAGTCTCCTGATGAAAGGCAATTCTTTTTGTTGTCGTCGTTGTTGGAGAAAAAGGAGCAGCTCTGCCTTTTTTCGAATTACCTGTTGGCGTTTTTGGTTCCTTCACTGAACAGCTGGTGTTCTTTTTTTAAAAAAAAAAATTTTTTTTTTTAAAAAATTCATTTCATTTTGATCTCAGCAAAGCGTGGCAAGAATAACAAGCTCATTCGGAGCTTTGAAGCTAGTGAGACACGATCTTCACAGATACCTGTGTGTGTTATTTTATTATGACCTGGTCCTTTTCCCACAATCTTTATGCATCGTCTTTCTGTTCTTTTCTTTTTTTCTTTTCTTTTAGAACTTCACTAAGCTTTTTGCATTTTTTTTTTTTTTTGGTAGCCTCATCGGTTTCGTCTGTCA